CTCATCTGCTAATTAGTTCTCCCATTGATCTCTCTCCCATATATGAGCCTCCTGTTCAGTTACTCTTTGCTGGTTCCTCATTGTTTCTTTGCTCCTGTGTGTTTTTCCTGACGTTTTCTGTATTTTGTTATTATTATTATTTTTTTTTGCTTCAGTTGCCACCATTTTGTCATTAAATTGCAAGAAACCACCTCAGCTTCTGTCTCTGCATTTGGGTCTGTAACCTCCACTCAACCTGATAAATACTTGTCACTAATTCTGTGACTAAATTTGACTAAATATCTATATTTTCTGTGCCCATATTTGTTGAAATTAACTAAATATACAGTCGGTCTATGTCTAATTTAGGAAGATGGCTGCACAAAAACAAGAACTGAGGGTGATATTAGTGTTGCACTGATAAGTGTTGCATTGATAATTAATAAAACGATTCCAGGTATCTGTCATTCAGATGATTATTCCAAAAGAAAATAATGAGTTTACTTCCTTACCTGAAAGGAGATTTAGCATACAGTGTACTTTACACATGCGTTATTTATTTTTATTTTATTATCAAATACTTGATTTCATGCTGATATGCTTAAATGTAGTCATGTTTTCATACTGAGCGATGCGCTACAGAGCAACCTGACTGATCTGTTACTACCAGCTATTCCACCATCTGGCGGCCTTTTTTTGACCACCTAGTTATATTTTTACAGCTCCTAAATGCATTATTGTGCATAAAATATTTCACTATGTCAAAGTAAGTATAGCTCTATGTGTTATATCTAAGAGGTGCTGAAATATTCATTTTTTCCTTTCATTTACACTGAAACACGTCTTGAGGCCTCTGGATGAACACATGTAGGCTATAGATGAAAATAAAGACAGACTGCGAAATATTAAAAGATGACCGATTTTTTTTTTTTTTACTGGCATTTAAATGCACCATGGATCTGTTCTCCTTTGTACTCTTGTAAAGTTTTCTGTGCGTGATTAGTTTTTTTCCCTGTGTATTATAACATCTGCTGTGTAGTTAGACTATTAATTATGCCTTTACTTTTATTGCTAAAAACAACCCTTAGGCTTGACAATAAACAATTCCTTTATCCAAAACATTTTGTAACACAAGT